AAAGATCGGACTGCCAACTGGAGGAAGAGAAGATACCAGCCCTGGACTTGCGAAGAAGACGTTTCTCTGCAGCATAACGCAGTCTCTTTTGTTCGTGGGCTATTGCACCATCATGTATTCGTCTGCGCCAGGTGGAGTGATCTTCAGCAATACTCTCCCAATTTCCAGGATCTATGTTACAGTTCTGAAGGGAGGCTTTAAGGGTGTCTTTGAATCTCTTCTTTTGACCTCCAAGAGATCGCTTGCCGTGTTGTAATTCACCATAGAGCATCTTCTTGGGCAGTCGATCATCGGACATGTGCACAACATGGCCAGCCCATCTGAGTTGTGCCTTGAAAAGCATGGTGTGAATGCTTGTCATATTAGCCTGTAGAAGAACATCAGTATCTGGAACTTTATACTGCCATCTTATCTTCAGCAGTTTCCCTAGACAGTTCAGGTGGAAGTGATTCAGCTTTTTCGCATGACGACTATATACAGCCCAGGTCTCACAAGTATAGAGAAGGGTGGGCAAGACGACTGCCGAGTAGACTTTTAGCTACTAAGGGTTGACTTAGTGGCAAGTAGGCTGGTGGATGGGTACTGCTGGAGGGTGCAGAAGAGACTTAGTAGAGCTGACTAGGTTGGGTTAACTTCACAAACGTATCAAAATATGTTTAACACTTTGCTGATTTGTTTATTTATTCACATATTTAAGTTCTCTAGATTCTTCACCACAATTTCATTCAATAGTGAGAACCATTTTAGGGAGTCTGTGAACTCCCAGGTTTTCTATAAGTTCAGTAAACTGCTCAGACGTTTACAAAATCATGGTCACCTCAACAATCCTGCTGCCTCCCAACCTCACTGAGCTCTTTTCTTCCAGCTGCTCGGCTGCAAAGGTGAGATGTGCAGTATGGTTTGGAACTGGGGTGGGCAATAATATTCACAGGGAGGCCACTTAATGAATTTTGGTACATGGTCACGAGCCGGCTCCACCCCTGGAGGGGAGGGGTGGAGCTAGGACGGAAGAGGTGGGGCAGGGGACTAGCCTCTCCACCGAGTTATCTGGGGCAGGAGGGTTTGAATTAAAAGCCCAGCAAAGAGTTTGAAGCTCCTGGCCCTGCTGCTACTACATTGCTTGATGGCCCTCTGGGGTGCTGTGGCTATTTAAAGGACTCACGGCTCCAGCCCATGCCAGGGAAGTGCCATGACTGGGAGCCAGGAGCCATTTAAATAGGATCCTGCTGCCTGAGCCGGCACCTGGATATTAAGTGGCAGGGGGAGCAAGATATAAATAGAAAGCAGACAGATACAATCTGCAGGCTGGATCAAAGTGTTAGGTGGGCTGGCTCTGGCCCCAGGCCACATCTTGCCCAGCCCTGGTTTAGAAGGTATAAAACCTGGCATTGGGCAGTCCATGAGAGAAAGTAGATTGCAAAGCCAAGGGCCTCTCCCAGCAAACCCTCTGCCAACAGTCCCCTCTGAATCTGGAGATTTTACAATCAGAGCCAAATTCCACAGGTGAAATCTGGGTTCCATTGCAGCCAATGGGAGTTTTGCCATTAACTTCAGTAGCGCTAGGATTATGCGCCAAATCTGTCCTCACTTTTCTGGTACTTCCAAGTCTATAGACTGTTTGGCATGATGTTCTATTATTTCACATCCTTAGAACATAATTTTCACAGCAGAAAGTTGTCTCAGAAACCTGAGCCCTGCAAGTAAGGAATTTTGAGTAGGTAGCCACGTTAGCTGAAAATCTGGATATTATTCAATGTACGTGTTTGAAATGGCACTGCTGTGTACTGCAGAGTCTTGACAAGTCACCAGGCATTAGCCAAGAAGCACAACCCATTTCATTATCATTTCAAAGCAACTCAGATCCAAGGCTGTTCATCTGTGCATGGGGCACTATTAAGAGAATTCCTAATAATGTTAAGTAACAATTGGGGTTCTTCACAATAGGTAGTGTTATGAAATATGAACACTAAAAACAAGGTTTCCCTGTACCTCTGAAGAACTCTCTTATCTTATTTAAATATAATTTCAAAACCAAGTTGATTATAGTCAATAAACATGAGAGAAATGATTGAAGGGTTGAATGAGCTAAAACACGTTCTTGTTCTTGAAGCCACACTTAATAGCATTAACATGTTTTTTTCCCCACAAGTCCTGTCAAATAATGTCTATTTCCCTTTATGCTTTGCAGGGACAATATCCCTTTTGATGAGTTGGTGTTAAATTCTAATTTGTAGTAATGTGCAACTTCCAATGTAAGATTCGTTTGCTGCTGTGTCTGTATTTGAGTTTGAATGCCAGATCCTTAACTGCTTTGAATTGGTTTCACTTGATTGTACTGGATGGCTTTATCTGACTTACACCCAGCTGAGAGAGTGGCAATAAATCTGTACAAGACTTAAAACGACTCTTGAAAAAGCCAGAGATTATAGTTGATCTACATGAACAATTTTCATTGGCTCTACATAGGCATACTGCATACTGAATATGTCCACTGATTACTCTTTAATCTTTTTTTTCTACTAATTTTTACATTCTGCTCTGTTAGATTACGTTCTGTTCTGTTCGATTTCACAAAAAAGAATAAACAGGTTGTCTGAGACTGACTTGGTGCAAACCCTGACAAAGTAGTTCCAAATATTATCCTCATTAGAATAAAACCAAGTGAGTGATTAATGCAGAGAAAGCAGAAGCAAATTTTATTTCAATGTCAGTGCAATGAGACGAGTCCATTCCCAGTAGAATTAGCGTGATCATGGCAGTTTAATAGTTTTATGGCCATTTCCAGGGACCTATTATGGTCCTATGAAAGTGTCTTTCAATTCCATAGCATTCACACCTGAGCAAAAAAAAAGATAATAGTACGCTTTGGGCCTCAGGGCAATTCTTTCATCTTGGTCATCATAAAAAGAAAAGAAAATCTAAAAAAAATTACTTATTTTGTAACCTTGATTTGTGCTGACTGTAACATTGTTTTCTGGTATTTTAAACCTGTAATCCTCTCATACATTTCATCATTGAATCACCTAACTTTCTACGCATGTTATAGTTACTATCGTGGATAGCTTTTATTTCCGATGAAGATGAAAGGGTACTGCTGGATGTGAAAGTGACTACAGAACACAGCAAATTAGTTGGAATATGTCAGCTTAGGAGAACATATCTGATATGAGTGCTGTAAGGCTGTTAACAAACAGACTAACTCATTTGTCTCACCGTGCAATGAAAATAAGAATCACCACATTATAATGAAATCTTGACTGGGATGTGCCTAGAAGCCTCTTTGAAGCCTAGGGTGATTTCCTTCCATTGATTTTGACACAGTGATACATGCAAACCACATTCTAAATAACTGTGAAATGAGATGGGTTCTGTGGCGAACAGATGGATCAAGGCTAAATATGGTGATGTGCATTGGAGACAGGAACAGATTAATACCACAAGGGGAGAGTAAAGGAAAATTGGAAAGACTGGGGTATTTGAACTAATTCATGAATTATTTCCAACTGGTAGTTCTGCCTTCAGGCACAATGAATAATACCAAGACAGCATCTTTAAAAATGTATGTGTTTTTCAATGTAGATGAGCATTCAGAGCCTTACTTCCTGGTGAAATTAAAACAAAAAAGTCCTTTACCATTCCTAAAAAAATGTAGCCATAGTTCTAAACACCACATATGTAATGTTGTTTAGTTTTCTATACTCTGGCATGAATTGCTATTTTAATAAGTTAGTTCAGATTCCCCTCAGAGGCACAAAGTCTTTGAAAATGTATTTCTTGCATGGAAGTTCCTTAGCAATTAGGAAACTTGACTCCCCCTTCACATCCAGCCTTTAGTAGTTAAGGGCAGGATTTGACTGGTAGGTCTGTATGCACTTCTCCATCACCCTACTCTTGCTCCAAAACCCCCAAGTGTTATAATGGCTCAGACCTTCCCCACTCTGGAACAATGTTCCACAGCATATAGGGGGATCCATATCTCGTAGGGTACGTCTAGGCTACAGGCTTTTGTTGACAGAAGTTTTGTCGACAGATACTGTCGACAAAGCTTCTGTCGACAAAGAGCGTCTAGACTACATTCAGTTCTGTCGACATAGATGCAATAACACCTTCTGTTGACAGAACTCTGTCGACAGAAGGCGTTATGCCTCATAAAATGAGGTTTACCAGCGTCGACAAAACTGCTGAGTTCTGTCGACATTATGTCGACAGAACTCAGCGGTAGTGTAGACACAGGTTTAATTTTGTCGACAAAAGTCCACTTTTGTCGACAAAACCCTGTAGTCTAGACACACCCTAAATGCGATCTGTGCATCCGGTCTTTCTTAACATCGTTTTTAACAGTTACATTTCATGAGGTCAGATTGTGATATCCTTCCTGAATGGTACCTTACTCTGCATGCAGCCCCAGATAAATCAACTGGAGTATGTGAGAAGTAAGATACTTCTCCATATGAGTAAGGCCACCAGGATCTGAAACTGAAACGAATATGGAATGTCTGCATGTGAGTAAAGATACCACAATATTGATCATGGTTAGCAAAGAAGATCTCTGCCGGCTGGGACTTCTGAGTCTCTTCAGAATGGCATGGCTGTCAGGATATGACAGAGCCTGGACCACTGTTATTCATAACGAACAAGGTTGATACAAAGAAAAAGAGAGGGCGAGAGAAAGAAATACCTCAATAATTATTTTTAAAAGTAAACCGTCTCCTTAGAAGTCTTTCAGAAAGTGTAACATGCGAGCCACAGAGAAAGGTGCAGAGTACTTGGCAGTGAAGGAAAAGGATATGAAATATCTTAATATTGTGGATGGCTGAAGTTTAATTTGCAAGGGAGGAAACAATCTGCATGGGTTTCTGCTTAGCAGCACATGTGATGCCGTTTGAGGCTTCCAATATGATTCCCTCATTCTAAGCAAAGTTCAATAATAATACTAAAAAAGATATAAAAGGTCCCATTAGCCTGGAAACATGATTCTCTGTCTGCTGTTCAAATTACAGGTTGCCAATCTAGCCTGTTCTATCTCCAATAATGAAGAAGGCGTGAAGTTAGTCCGTATGGCAGCAACCCAGATTGATAGTCTATGCCCACAGGTAGGCACAATTCTTGCTGAAAAATACTCCAGGACTGTTAAAATATTAAAGAGCATAAGGTATTTGACAGAGAAAAACGTCTGAAGATTATAGCCTTGCCTTTTTTCGTGATATTGTTCATTGCCTTGCAAAAACGGAAAGGTATGTTTGTATTTTGAGAGGTGAGTTTAATGAATGCAGAACACAGATGTGCTTTGAACACCGCATTTAATCAATTTGGTGTTTGTATTTTGAGAGGTGCGTTTAATGAATGCGGAACATAGATGTGCTTTGAACACCGCATTTAATCAATTTGTTCCTTCCCGTGAGAAAAGTTTTGCCATTTCTTGTAACAACGTATCCTAAATAACAGGTCATAAATGCGGCACTCACGCTGGCTGCCAGACCCCAGAGCAAAGTTGCCCAGGACAATATGGACGTCTTTAAAGATCAGTGGGAGAAACAAGTGAGAGTTCTCACCGAGGCAGTTGATGACATCACATCCGTGGATGATTTTCTCTCCGTCTCAGGTACTGGGAAAACAGGAGCCTCCGACAAAAAATAAACCAATTCATTAAAGTAACGGTCACATTGGAAAGGTAGCTAGAATTACAGCTGAGTCATTGGTGCAGGCTTCCAACTGCTTAGAATGCTGGTTTGTTGCATTCCGTGGGAATGATCCACTACTGCCCGAATAGCTGGTCATAATGTACGTGTTTCTGTCTTTTGGGGGATGTTCTGTATTTTATAGTATCAGAGGGGTAGCCGTGTTAGTCTGAATCTGCAAAAGCGGCGAGGAGTCCTGAAGTAGACTTCAGTTAGTCTATAAGGTGCCACAGGACTCCTCGCCACTTCTGTATTTTATATAAGGCAAAGAAACCCAATTCTCTGATAGGCTAAAAAAGTAAAAGAAGTATAAATTGCAGGTCAAAGGAGGATACATTTTTAGTACCTGTTTTTTCCCTTCTTGTGGTCAATTCATTTCTAGTGCAAGTGTTTCAAGTTGGACAGCTGTTATCTACCTCATATGAATGCTTTAGAGTCTGGTGGCTAAAAATATGCAGTCAAAATGGATGGGTAGTGTTGACCCTATCAAAAGAGAGGTGGGGCAGAGGCCTGGCTGAAAATCTGGCCTTTAGCATTTCTCTGTGTATTGCAGTAAATGGCAAACCAGCTTAATGGAATCAAAGAAGTTAAGAGAGGGGAACCCAGATTCTCCGGTGCAATCCATTCACTTGGTGCCACTCAGGTGGTACCAAATGGATGGATTCTGGCCAGATATACACAGCAGAAGTTTTTTTTCAGAGATTCTTCACTATTGTGAACATGGCTACTCCTGTGCCAGTCATCCGGTGCACACACCAGTTGCTCTAACCAATATAAAGACAAAGCAACCAGTGAATGAAGGATTCAGAACTGTCTTTCCAATGCACCTCCCAACTTGCACCATGGGGTACATCTACACAGTAACATTATTTTGAAATAACTTAGTCCGCGCTGTGGGGAGTTATTTCGAAATAATGTTGAAATACGGTCAAGCTGGAGGACTTCTGACTCTGACTCCCATAACCCTCATTGTACGAGGAGTAAGGGATGTCAGAGGAAGAGTGCTCTTCTTCAAAATAAGTGCTGTGTAGATGCTCCCAATTTCGAAATAAGCTACACAATTGACGTAGCTCACTTTGCGTAGTTTCTTTTGAGTTAAGCCCTGCTGTGTAGATGAACCCTTGCAGAGCTCAAGTGTATGGAAGGACTGAGGCTGGAAAAGAGCTATTAGACTACCAAATCCATTTACACCTTGAATATAATTAGCAGAGACAGCTTCATGCCACATAATTCTGAGCTAGTTCCATATCCCTGCCTTCGAAGAATCACAGTTTGTTTGAATTTGAATCCAGGTGAGGATTTGAAGTTCAAGTGACCCCAAAGTTCAAAGATGGTCATGTCTAGACCTTTTAGCTGGAGATGTCTCTCTTACTAAGAAGCACAAAGGAATTTGGGCCACCCTTTTCACATTTATGAATGTCTCGGAACAGGTGGCCAGTGTTTGCAAATGTTATTCCGTAAAAGCTCAGTTGTTACATCCCTTACCCAAGAGCATGGGCATACAGTAATGTAGGCAAGGAAAGGGAGAGCCTTCCCAATACTGCTTACATGCCTGACTGCCAAAGGCTGGGGTAGCTGCTGGGGAAGTCTAGGGCCCAGAGAAAGGCTGGGGCCGTGCCCTGGCAGCCGGCTTCTCCAGTGACTATGGAGGGATAGGATCATGGCACAGCAACCCTGCTTCCTGGCTGCTGGAGAGGGCTGGGCCATTGTCACAGCCCAACAGCCTCGGCCCTCCATGTGGCCAGGAAAGATTGGTCTGGGGTGGGCAGGGCTTAGCTTCAGGGGTTGGCCTCGGGAGGAAGGGGCAGGGTGAGGTTGGAGCTTGCCTTTCCCAGCTGGGCTTTCACCCGCCACCCATGCCCAGGAGTGAGAGAGATGTTTTATTCTCTCACAGCCCAGCTTAGATCGTGACTCACAACCGCAAGCAAGTGGGTGGGAAGGGGCAGGAATGGAGTGTTATTAGAAGGATAATTACAAGGCCCTTCACTGGTTTGCTCACAGGCCAGAACATCTGGTCAGGAGCACAATAGAGCCAGCTGTTCCCACAAAAAAAGAGATCAAGTAACTTATTCTTCACCGCGGGACAGGAAGGAGAGAGAAAGGGATTTGGGCTGTCTGGTTCACAATCCTTTCTCTGTGTTGCTTCTGGGGAGGTGAAGCAACACCTATTTACGGCATAATGGTAATCATAGACTCATAAAATATTAGAACTGGAAGGGGCCTCAAGAAATCATCAAGTCCAGTCCTCTGCCCTCACGGCAGGACCAAGCATGGTCTAGATCATCCCTGACAGGTGTCTGTCTAACCTGCTCTTAAAGATCTCCAGAGATGGAGGTTCCACAATCTCCCTAGGCAATTTATTCCAGTGTTTCTCCACCCTCACAGGTAGGATGTTTTTCTCAATGTCCAACCTAAACCTCCCTTGCTGTAGTTTACACCCATTGCTTCTTGTCCTATTATCAGAGGCCAAGGAGAGCAATCCCTTCCTCCTCTCTGTGACACCCTTTTAGATATGCAATCCCTTCCTCCTCCCTGTGACACCCTTTTAGATATCTGAAAACTGCTATCATGTCCCCTCTCAGTCTTCTCTTTTCCAATCTAAATAAGCCAAATTCCTTCAGTCTTGCCTAGACTGTAAGTTACAAACTAGGTTTAAGCAGCTAGTGATCTTGTTTCAAAAATGTTGTTTGTGTGTTTGACCCACTACATTGCAGGTAGCTTGTTATCCTAGTAAGATATAAGGGAGGTGGGACTGGCCACTGTGAGAAAGGAAGTAGCTCTGAGAGAAGCTAAACCTCAAGAGATGGCAAGGGCTGAATTCTGTGGTGGTCTGCTTTGGAATCCTTTCATGAATAACACCAAATCCTAGGAAAGGGCTAAGTTTTTACTTGCTACAACTTATGTGACTATACGGAAGCTACCTACTTGCACTTCTTTTGTGTATAGAAAGGTAATGACAGCTAACTTAGAAAACAGAAAGAGGTACATTTTATATGAAATAATGTGATCAGCGCTTGTTTCCAAGTAACAAGAAAATCCCTATTTCAGTTATGCATTTCCTCTCTAGTCTTTGTGAACCTTGGCAGATGAAGCATTATTGGAGTTTAACTTCATATTAGGCAGAGATTTTTTGAATATATACTTTTCTCTCCTGAGGCATCTCCTTTTAAAAATAAACCCAGGTTCAAATGGGAAAGGAGTAGAATGATTTCATAAACCAGTCAGTGTGTGAAGTTCTAATCCACAGTGCATATTTCATAAACATTATTTTCTAGAGTGTGTGTGCGTGGGGTGGGGGGAACGATGTATTCATCCTTAGAGAGGATTACTTCATATTGTTTTCCTTTTTTTCTGTTTGGTTGCATCTTGTTAATCCTGGTAACAAGGAAATGACTTGGTCGAGGCAAGTTACTGTCCACCATTCAAGCTCAGTTCAGGGTGCTTACTGCAAGCCGTAACAAGAAAATGAAAACTGACTGTCAGAAAACTGAGTGCTTCAGAACCTGGGAAAGCATATGTTTTGATTTCTTATCAATGATATTCTTATCAATAAACTAGGCAAATATAACTTAGATGGGATTACTATCAGGTAGGTGCATAACTGGCTGAATAACCATACTCAGAGAGTAGTTATTAATGGTTCATAATCCTGCTGGAAAGGTATAACAAGTGGGGTTCTGCAGGGGTCTGTTTTGGGACCGGCTCTGTTCAATATCTTCATCAATGATTTAGATATTGGCATAGAAAGTACGCTTATTAAGTTTGCAGATGATACCAAGCTGAGAGGGGTTGCGACTGCTCTGGCGGATAGGGTCATAATTCAAAATGATCTGGAAAATTGGAGAAATGGTCTGAGGGAAACAGGATGAAGTTTAATAAGGCCAAATGCAAAGTGCTCCACTTAGGAAGGAACAATCAGTTTCACACATACAAAATGGGAAATGACTGTCTAGGAAGGAGTATAGCAGAAAGGGATCTAGGGGTTATAGTGGACCACAAGTTGAATGAGTCAGCAGTGTGATGCTGTTGCAAAAATCAAACGTGATTCTGGGATGCATTAACAAGTGTGTTGTGAGCAAGACATGAGAAGTCATTCTTCCTCTCTACTCTGCGCTGGTTAGGCCTCAGTTGGAGTATTGTGTTCAGTTCTGGGCACCGCATTTCAAGAAAGATGTGGAGAAATTGGAGAGGGTCCAGAGAAGAGCAACAAGAATGATTAAAGGTCAAGAGAACATGACCTATGAAAGAAGACTGAAAGAATTGGGCTTGTTTAGTTTGGAAAAGAGACAATTGAGAGGGGACATGATAGCAGTTTTCAGATATGTAAAAGGGTGTCACAAGGAGGAGGGAAAAAAAATTGTTCTTCCTGGCCTCTGACGATAGAACAATAAGTAATGGGCTTAAACTGTAGCAAGGGAGGTTTAGGTTGGACATTAGGAAAAAGTTCCTAACTGTCAGGGTCCAGGGAGGTTGTGGATTCTCCATCTGTGGAGATATTTAAGAGTAGGTTAGATAAATGTTTATCAGGGATGGTCAGACAGTATTTGGTCCTGCCATGAGCGCAGGGGACTGGACTCGATGACCTCTCGAGGTCCCTTCCAGTCCTAGTATTCTTTGATTCTATGATTTGACAGTTGGAGCTGGCAAGCACCTTCTGACAGACCTAGCTCTGCAAACAATAGACAGACCCAAGTCTGTGGTCTATAGATACAGTCCACAACCTGAGGAGTTATTTGAGATTATTTTGTATCTCTTTTACAGTTCGAGACAGGCCTACCGATGGGGCGGGAGAAAGGGACTTGGTGATTCAAAGGGGCCAGAGGTTCCTAGCTGCCCTTTAAATTGCCATGCTGCAGAGCCCCAGGCAGCTTGCTCTGGACATCGCTGGTCGGGGGAGGGGAGAGCAGTCTGGGCAGCGCTGATGGCTAGCTGCTCCAGCCCCACCCTTGTGGGAGCACAGAGCCAAGGGCCTCCCCAGAGACCTGGAGAGTCTGTCGTCTTGCCTGGTTCAAGCCAAAGCTCATCACTAAGTTGCACTTTCTTCCCAGGGATAATTTCTACTGACTGTGTTTTTCAGAAATCAATTTACTTTCATAATATATTTACCAGGATGGGCTTGAGTTACAAATCTCGGATACAGTTCCAAATTTTCCCTACGTCTACACTGCAGTGCTATTTCGGAATACCGGCGGTATCCCGAAATAGCTATTCCATGTCTTGTGAGCGCAACTGTTATTTCAAAATATAAGGGGCTAGCTATTCCGATGTCCCTGTTAACCTCATTCAATGAAGAGTAAGGGACATTTCAAAAGAGCTATTTATTTTGAAATAAGTGCTGCGTAGACATTCAATAAGCCATTTCGAAATTGACCCAGAACAAGCTATGCAATTTGCATAGCTCAAATTGTGTAGCTTATTTTGAGCTATGGGTGCAGTGTAGACACACGCTAAGTGAATCAAATCTGGGGTTTGTGTTTAGGTATATCTTTTCACTTTTTTATTTTTTATCTCTTTAAAAATGATATTCCATCCCACATTCTTTATAGAACTCTGCTCTATTAGCAGTGAGCTCTGAAGTCTTGGCTTCAGTCAGAATTCACAGAAAGAAGCAATAGTTTATTTTTGGTTGCTAAATCATTAAAGTATTAAAATGCATTCGGCATCTGGTTGAGAATTTCTGACAAAATGACCCTTCCCTGCTTACTACTCCGTACCACAATTGATGGCACATTTTTATTGGTGCTACAGAATAAGTCTTAAATTAATTTTAACCAAATGCTTTACATTTCAAATACATTGTCTATTCCCATTTCTAAAAGTGTTTTCACTTCAGATAAAAATTGGGCATGCTGGGCTAAGCAAAATGAGTTTTAAAAAATATTTTAGCAGAGCAACATTTTTGAAACCTATTCAGGTTATTTTTTGGGGGGAGGGGAAGGTTCCTTTTGAAATGACCTTGGTTCTTAGCACTAGAGGATTTCAGTTCTCATTCAGAAATGTTACAATTTGAAATGCAACATTGTCAACTTTTCTGAAAAAATAAAAATAAAAGAGGAGGCCCTGGTATCTTGAGCAATGCACATGAAAATTTTAGTCTATTCTTGTAACCCAGGAATGGCTAACAAAAAGCAGTTGGTTACATGATCAATTTATTGATCATGGCTTTTTACTGCAAGGTACATAATTTTATCTTCAACTCATTTGTGGCAGATGAGAAAGTCACATTTCAAGTTAGGTGCGTTTCTCAACCTGAGATTAGCCAAATATAAAATTCTTCTGTCACTTTTATTGTTGAAATGACTTTTTTTACAATGTGGACTAGAAGGAAAACGGCAGTGTTCAGTGCTACCGAAAATCGCCTTCAACACATTATAGTACTGTGTGACACGCACATTATCTACTACAGTGTATAAAGCCTTAGGGCCATATGCTCAGCTCGTGTAAATTGGTGTATCACCTTTAATTTCAATTGAGCTACAATCATACACAACAGCTGAGAATCTTGCCATGTGTCCATTAGTACAGTATCATAATCGTACGGGTATGTCTACATTGCATTGCTATTTTGGGATACTGGAGGTATCCCAAAATAGCTACGCCACATTTATACAAGCCACCATTTTTTCAAAATATTTTTCAAAATAATAGGTGTGCTATTTTGCCATCCCGATAAACCACATTGCACGAGGGATAAAGGAAGGCTCGAAAGGGGACTTTGATTTGGGGCAGGGGATTGGGGTACCTGATCTGGGAGGGGATATGGGTACAGGATGGGGGGTAGAATATTTGGGTATGAGGAGTAAGGGGCAGTATGAGGAGAAAGGGTTGGAAAATGGAGGGACTGGGGTGCCAGAGACAGATTCTAGCCAGGAGACTTACCAGCCAGCATTCCTTCCTGAATCAGCCTCCCATGTGCTCTGGAGCTCCTTGTGTTTCATGGCTGCCTGTTATTGAAACATACAGCTTCCACTGGCCAGTTTTTGGCCAGAAACCAGCCAATGGGATTGTGCTGGAGGCTGGAGCAACTCCTAAAGCTTCCTCCTTCCCCTCTAGACTCAGTTTTTAAAGAAAAAACTGCCAGAAATTGCATTTCTGAATGGCGTGCCGGTGGGGCTCCCCATAGTGTCCATGGCCTGGATCCGGTGGCTTGGTGGTCCAGATCTGGCCCGCAGTCCATATTTTGCTCAGGCCTGGTTCCACATGTTGATCTCAGAAACAGGTCTGGTTCCACATGTTGATCTCAGAAACAGACTAGGGAAATGTGTAGATTAAGTTATAATAAAGGGGAGAGGGCACAATTGGTTGAAAAACCTTACTGAACAGTGGCTTTTAGTCGTTTACTACCAAACTCGGAAGACATATCTAGTGGGATCCCTCAGGAGCCTGGCCAAAGTCCACTGCTAGTCAACATTTTTATTAGTGGCTTGAAGAATGGAGTGGAGTGTATGCTTATAAAGTCCACAGATGACACCCAGGGCACATCTAGACTTGCTTTCACTTTCAAAAGGAGATATGCAAATTTGGTGCTAATTTGCATATCTTCTTCCAGTCGCTTTTTCGAAAGTGAAATCAGTTTAGACAGGGTTTTTTTGAAAGAGCCCCCCTTTTTCAAAAGAACCATTCTTCCTTAAAAAATGAAGTGTACAGGGTTCTTTTGAAAAAGGGGGGGTTCTTTCAACCCCCCCATCTAAACTGCTTTCACTTTTGAAAATAAGCGCTTTTGAAAAAGCGATGCAAAGAAGATATGCAAATTTGGTGCTAATTTGCATATCTCCCTTCAAAAGTGAAAGCAAGTCTAGACATGCCCCAAGATTGGAGAGGTTGCAAGACCTTTGAAGGAGAAGATTAAAATTCAAAGTGATCTTGATGAATTGGAGAATTGGTCTGAAATCAACAAGATGAAATTCATTAATGATAAGCGCAAGTTACTATATTTCACAAGGAAAAACAAATGCACAACTATACAATGAGATATAACAACTGGCTACGAGGTAGTACTGCTGAAAAGGAAGAGTGATTATTGCGAATCACAAACTGAATATGAATTAACAATGTGATGTGGTTACAAAAAAGGCTCATTTTGTTCGGGGCTGTATTAATAGCAATGTTGTGAGTAAGACATAGGAAGTAATCTCCCTGCTGTACTAAGCTAAAAGGATTGTGTCAAGTTTGGGGCACAACACTTTAAGAAACGTGGGTAAATTGGAGAGAGTTGAGAAGAGAGCAACAAAAAAGAAAAAAAGGATTAGGAAACCTGAACCATAAGGAAAGATTTATAAAAACAAAAAAACATACCTTGGTGTGTTTAATCTTGAGAAATGAGTGGAGACCTGATAACAGCCTTCAGCTGTGTTAAGGGTGTTATAAGGAGCAAGGTAATCCATTCTACTCCATGTCCACTGAAAGTAGAACCCATAGTAATCAGTTTAATCTGCAGGAGAGGAGATGTTGGTTAGAAATTCAGAAATAAAAATGTCTAGCTATCGAGATAATTAAGTTCTGGAATAGGCATTCCATGAGCACTGCAGAATTCCTATCACTAGGGCTACGTCTACACTGGCATGATTTTCCGGAAATGCTTAAAACGGAACAGTTTTCCGTTATAAGTATTTCCGGGAAAAGCGCGTCTACATTGGCAGGATGCTTTTCCGGAAAAGCACTTTTTCCAGAAAAGCGTCCGTGCCAATGTAGATGTGCTTTTCCGGAAAAAAGCCACGATCATCATTTTCACGATGGGGGCTTTTTGCGGAAAAGAAATCTGTGCTGTCTACACTGGCCCTTTTCTGGAACAGTTTTCCAGAAAAGGACTTTTGCCCGAACGGGAGCAGCATAGTTTTTCCGGAAAAGCACTGATGATTTTACAGTAGATCGTCAGTGCTTTTCCGGAAATTCAAGGGGCCAATGTAGACAGCTGGCAAGTTATTCCGGAAAAGCGACTGATTTTCCGGAATAAGTGACCAGTGTGGACACAGCCTAGGAGTTTTGAAGAACAGATTGGGCAAACATCTGCCAGAGATGGTCTAGGAGGTTTACTATGCCCTGCCTCAGCTCAACAAATTGGATTAGGTGACCTCTTGAGGTTCCTTCCAGCCTTACATTTCTGGGATTCCATGGCTTTTTACACTGGAGAAATACTCAGAACAATCAAATTATTCTTTATGGCTCAACAGCTGCAGTATAAACATATAAGACTAGCTATGAAATGAATTTTATGTGTGTTCTTTCTGCAGAAAACCATATTCTGGAGGATGTGAATAAATGTGTGATTGCCCTTCAAGAGGGGGATGTAGATACACTGGACAGAACTGCAGGTGCAATCCGTGGCCGTGCAGCCAGAGTCATTCACATAATCAATGCAGAGATGGAAAACTATGAAGCTGGAGTTTATACCGAGAAGGTATTGGAAGCTACAAAATTACTCTCAGAAACCGGTAAGCTTATTTCAACTAAGCTCTCCCACAATTTAAGTCTCTAAGCAGTTTAAATCTATATTTTCGAGTCCATCATTTAGAAGAGCATCTGTGCCCTCTCTGTGGGTGCATCTGCTTGTGAATGAATACATTTCATGTTTCAAAGCAAAACATTAAAAAAGACATGCTGACATGTTAAAAAGTACAGAAAAAATAAATCCAAATAATAAGGTTTATCTCAAAAACTCATGTCCTTTCCAAAGGCCTAAAAAACCCTCAGAATTAATAATGTTTCGGTGAAAGTACATTGGTATGACTGAGAATTCATTATATCATTTTAAAGGTAATAACATTTCATAGCTATTTCCATGTAGGGTATGTGCTGAATCCTAAACTTTTTGCACTTGTGTTTTCACTCATATACTTATTGACTGAAGTAGTTGATCTAGGCTTTGTAGTCACCAGGACATATCCAATTGTGAAAAATAACCAGTGAGCACATTCAAACCTATTTAGTAACAGAGAATATAAGTAACGAATATTGGAGTGAAGTAATCAGATTTGTTGCTGCGATATAGCGAATCCCTTATCACTGGTTGCATGTTTGTTAATTCTTGATATATAAATCAGTCCATAAAGCAAGCTAACAAAATACCATGATGTATGCATTATCATTTATTATTATTATGTTTCAATTGATCAGCATGGCTCCGTAAACAGGAAGGTAAAATGATAGTAGTTCTGCTTTCTATATCCCTTCACTGTGGTGGAGAGCTGTATCCCAGATTCTGACTGTACAGCGTTCAGTGTGTGTTCAAAACTAGAGTAGCTAGGAAGCAGCCTAGAACACCTCAGAAGGGTGGGGAGGGATAGGTTAGTAGTTTGAGCATTGGCCTGCTAAACCCAGGGTTGTAAATTCAATCCTTGAGGAGGCCATTTAGGGATCTGGGGCTTGGTCCTATTGTGAAGGCAGGGGACTAGACTTGATGACCTTTCAAGGTCTCTTCCAGCTCTAGGAGATAGGCATCTCCATTCATTTGAACTGGTTGCATTTGCCTTGCTTTGAGCTGTAGAGGGACATTTCAAAGGAGGATTTAGCATTTGGGAGAATTATCTGCACATAAGAGCATATACCCTTGCCACTCAGCCCACATCTGCCAAATAAACACCTCCCTTGCTTATGTTTGGATAAACCCAGAGAAAAGGGAACAAATGGGATTCGAGACCTTATTTTATGAGAGGAAACAAAAATAATTTAACTTGTTTAGCCTAGAAAAACGGAGGCTGAGAGGGAATTTGCTGCTTTCTGTCTATACATACATCAAAGGGGAAAAACAAGGGAATGAGAACAGTTACTGAAGTTTAAGGACAATGTTGGCTCAAGAGATGGGTATAAATTAGCCATGAGTAAATTTGTAATGGGTAAAGATAGCTTCCCCAATTATCCCCCCTAATATCATTATCTCATAGACACTAACTTCCCCCCTTCAACATCCCCTTCTAAAATCTAATTTGTCAATTTTATATGTGTTCACCATTTTTTGATTGTATCCCTTTGGTATATATGGTCATGCCAATTTTCTTCCACAATTTGATCTGAGGAAGAAATGGGTCTGGCCCACGAAAGCTCATCACCTAATAAACCATCTCGTTAGTCTTTAAAGTGCTGTGAAGTCCTGTCTTTTGTTTCAGCAAGACCAGACTAACATGGCTACATCTCTATTACTACTCTCACTGTAGTGTGAGTCCATAGAAAATCTTTGCATAGTTCTGAGTTAAGGAAATACAGTAGACTTCCGATAATCCGGAACCTATGGGATTTAGGTGGTGCCGGATTATCAGATATGCCGGACTATCAGGAGGTACTATTAGCTGGTTATATATATACTGTATACATTATATACTGTATATAAAGTGTTCTTAACCCTTTTTATTGTACATACTGTATACAGTATACTGTAATGTTTTAGGTTTTTTAAGTCTTTTTTACCCTTTTTGCTCAGTTCAGCTGCTGCCACTGTTACCTTGTGACTCATTTTTTGCCGAAGCTCACTCACTATGCTCTTGCCATTTTGATGCCGGACTATCAGGAGTGCTGGACTATTGGATGCCGGACTATTGGAATTTTACTGTACAAGACAATCAGAAAGTAGTTATTTTAATTCAGTATGTTTTATTGACTAATTCCATAGTCAATGGAATTTGTTTTATTTTATTGACTAATTCCATAGTCAATAAAAGATCAAAGCTTTTTAACCATAGCTTTAGCTTCAAAGGGAATTTCATTAGCAAAATAATTTAAATTCTAGCAAGTGGAGTTACAGAAGGAAAATATGACCTGTCCAGTTTGATTGGGTTCTTGGATCAGCAGACATTTCACAAGCCAGCAAAATATACTGAAGTTTATGTCCATTGATACCTTCATTAGTAAACTGAGAGATTTCTGAACAATGTGAATTTTCTATTAGATTGAACAAAATTAATTTTTGTATTTATGCTAACATTTCTGGCCCAACTTTATGTACAATGTGTCCAAGTCATCTTTCATAGAATTAAATTACAATGTTAAAAACATAATAAAATGGATCTACAACCGAGACATTAAATATTTCCATTGCACCATTAACGTGTTCTTTAATAAAGCCTGAATTATAACAAAGTGCTAATAGTTGTATCTTTTCTGACACCATCTGTGAGGACTTGGAAAAATTGGACCAAGTTACTGTATTGTAGAGTACGTGGACTCCAAATTACAGATACTTTATTTTAAAGCCTCTATTTCAGTTCATTCTGCACTATCCTTCTCAGGTACTTATATGTCCCCTATAACTATAGTATTTTAGTAACACATCCTTAATATATTTATCCTCACTGTGGGAAGGGAGGGCATTGTAGAAATGTATTGAAATGTCCTTTTCACACATTTTATATCTTGAAGAATTACTAGGGGTCACCAAATGAAATGAATAGGTAGCAGGTTTAAAACAAACTAAAGTAAGTTTTTCTTCATGCAGCGCATAGTCATCCTGTGGAACTCCTTGCCAGTGGATGTTGTGAAGACCAGGAATTTAACAGGATTCCAAAAAGAACTAGGCAACTTCATGGAGGTTAGGTCCATCAATGGCTATTAGCCAGGATGTGTAGAAATGGTGTCCCTAGCTTCTGTTTGTTAGATACTAGAAATAGATGACAGGAGAAGGATCACATGTTGATTACCTGTTGTGTTTATTCCCTCTGTGACATCTGGAATTGGCCACTGTTGGAAGACAGGATACTGGGCTAGATGGACCTTTGGTCTGACCCAGTATGGCCCGTCTTATGAAGACAGCACAATTAGGGGAAACTAAAGCAATAATTGTGTTAATACCACTTTTGTCCAATCAAGTATTGAGTTATTTGTCAGTAGATTTAGAAGGCATTGTCACCTCCAGAATACATACTGTATAACGGAGGCCCAAAAGGTAATGGGATTTCACTTTAATCATAGTGTGAGTTAGCCCTAGAACTGAGGTGGTAACCCAGTTTCCTAATTGCAAGTTCGCTGCTCTGTCCTCACAGTCGAAGTCCCTGCTTGTCTTATTCTCATAAGATGAAAGTAAATCTGACTATGTATCCATACTTTCATAGACTTTCACACTGAAAAGGACCACCTATGGTCCTCTAGTATGATTTTCAGCACACTGTAGGCCACAGAACCTCACCCATCCAGTCCTGGAGAAGGCCCAATATCTCAGGGTGAATTATTGAACTCTTCAAGTCTTGATTTAATTTTTTCAAGTTACAGAGAATCCCTCATTTACTCTAGTTCTAACCAGCAAATGATGTGTGTCCCACATTGCAAAGAAAAGCAAAACGAATAAATAAAACCAAAAACCACTGTGGTCTCTACTGATTTGACCCAAGGGAGGCGAATTCCTTCCGAACACTAAATACAGTGATCAGTATGGGGAAGAACAGAACATGAGAATGACCATCTAGCCCAGTATCCTGTTTTCTGACAATAGCTGGCACCAGGTGCTTCAGAGGAATTTAACAGAATAGGGCAGTTATTGAATGCTCCATCTCCTCTCATCCAGCCCCAGTATCTCCCAGTCAGAAGTACAGAGACACCAAGACCATCAGCTTGTATCCCTGACCGACTTGGCTGATAGACATTGATGGACCTAGTTCCTCAGCTAATTCTTTTTTGAAACCTGTTGAACTTTTGACCTTCACAGCCTGCTTTGACAACAAGTTATACAGGTTGATTGTGCATTGTGTGAAGAAATATTTCCATTTGTTTTAAATCTGCTGCCTCACAATGTCATTGGGTGACCCCAGTACTTGTGGGGTAAGTAATATAGCTTTATTCACTTTATCCACACCATTCATGATTTTCACAATCTCTATCATATCCCCTCTTTGTCCTCTTTTCTAAGCTGTACAGTGCCGATCTTTTAAGGTTCTCTTCATAGCTGTTCCCTAATAATTTTTCCTGCTTTTCTTTATACTTTTTTCTCCAATTCTAATAAAACATTTTTTGAGACGTGATGACCAGAACTGTGTGTAGTATTCAAGTTGTGGGTGTACCATGGATTTAAATAATGGCATTATGATATTTTCTGTCTTATTATCTATTCCTTTCCTGATAGTTCCTAACAATCTGTTAGCTTTTTTTCTTTTTTTTTTTACTGATGCTGAACATTGAACAGATGTTCTCAGAAAATTATCTACAATGTCTCTAAGATCATTTTAACAGCTATTTTAGACCCCACAGTTTTGTATGACTGGTTAGTATTATGTTTTCCAGTACATGTTACTTTGCATTCATCAACATTGACTTTCCTCTGCCATTTTGTTGCCCTGTTTCCTGGTTTTGTAAGATGTCTTTATACCTCTTCACAGTCAGCTTTGGACTTAACATCCTTAGTAATGTTATATCATCTGCCAACTTTGCCACTTCACTGTTTGCCCTTTCATCCTGATTGCTTATGAATATGTTGAACAGCACAAATCTCAATATAGATCCTTGGGATTCTCTT